TTCAAAATTTATTACATAACTACAGTGGTCAAAACAGCTTGGTACTGGTACAATCAAAGATACCAGATCAATGGAACAGAATCGAGAATCCAGAAATTAACCCATACACATAAAGCCAACTGATTTTGAACAACAGCGTAAGTATATATTGCATGGGGAGGAGATAGTCTCTTCAACAGATGGTGCTGGCAGAACTGGAAACCAATATGCAAAAGACTGAAACAAGACCTTTATTTCACACCATATACAAAAACCAACTCAGCATGGATTAAAGAACTAAATGTGGATCCCAGAATTATAAAGGCCACCAATGAAAAAACAGGGACAAATTTGAGGGTTCTAATACAGGGCACAAGGAGCTCTGGTAGCGTAGTGGTTACAAATCGGGCTGCAGACCTCAAGGTCAGCAGTTCGAAACTACCAGCTGTTCCGCGGGAGAAAGATGAAGGCTTTCTGCTCATGTAAAGATTAACAGCCTCGGAAACCCTGTACAGGGTCACTACAAGTCAGAACCGACTCCACGGCACATAACAACAATGACAACAATACAGGGCACACATAGACTGCCAAACATTGTGAAAACTGCACAAACATACGAAGACAAAATAGATGACTGGGAGATACTAAAAATTTGTATCAAAATATTTCACCAAAAGTATAAAAAGGGAACCCACAGAATGGGAAATCTTTTGCAGTGATACATTTGACAAGGGACTAATTTCTAAAATATATAGGAAACCACAACATCTCTACAAGAGAAAGAAAAATAACCCAATTTAAAAATGGGCCCAGACCAGGAACGGGCACTTTACCAAGGAATGTATTAGGTAGCCAACAAACATATGAAGAAATGTTCAGGATCTCTAGCCATTAGAGAGATGCAAATGAAAACGATGAGATAGCATCTCACACCAGCAATAACAACAAAGGTCAAAAAAGTAGAGGACAATAAATTCTGGCGAGGATGTGGAAAGACTGGGACCCTCCTACATGGCTGGTGGGATTGCAAAATGATCAAACCACTCTAGAAAACAGTATTGTGCTTCCTCAGAATGTTAGAAATAGAAATACCTTATGATCCAGCAATTCCTCTACTTGGTATTTGTACACAAAAAATATGAGCCATATCACGAGCCATATGCACACAAATGTTCATAACAGCACTATTCACAATAGCAAAATGATGGAGACAGGCTAAGTGCCCATCAAAGAATGGATAAAACAAATTGTGGTACATCCACACAATGGAATCTTATGCTACCTTGAAGAATAACCAAGCCACTTGGTTGGATGTAACTTGAGAACATTATGCTGAGTGAAAATTTGTTATGGTGTTGGAGGAGAATACTGAAGGTGCCATGGGCTGTCAAAAGAACCAATAGATCCGTTTTGGAAGAAGTGCAGCCAGAGTGCTTCTTGGAGGCCAAGATGGCTAAACTTCATCTCTCAGACTTCGGACATATTTTCAGAAGGGACTAGTCGCTGGCGAAGGGTATCATGTTTGGCAAGGTGGAGGGTCAGAGAAAAAGAGAAAACAGTCTCAAGGAGATGGAATGGCCAAGTGGCAGCATCGATGGACTCAAGCGTGGCAACAGTAGTGAGGTTGGCGCAGAATCAGGCAGTGTTTCATTCTGCTGTGCATAAGGTCGCTATGGGTCGGTACCGACTAGATGGCACCTAACAACAACAAATATGGATGTTAGAATATAAAGCAAGCTGTTTGGTCAGGGAAAACCTCCTTTTAATACAGAAACTCAAAGGGAACCATAAGTAGTCTAATACATGCTCTAGTGACCACCCTGATTTACTTGTGAGTGGAAGTGGGGGAAATGCAGCAATGAGTTTGTTCCAGTGATACCCACTGACCTTGAGATGAGAGCGAGAAGAGGAAAGGGTTGGCTGGTCTGGAGTTCAGTGTAATGTGTGAACTCCTGAGCCCATGGGCACTGGCCTAGCCACTGGGGGCTTAAACTAAGAGTGAAGCAGCCAGTGGTAGTACCCATTTGATCTAGCTTGGGTGACTAGCTGATGATAACTCAACCAGATGAAGATAAAGATGTTTGATGTTGTGAGCAAGCATAAATTATTATAATTTGATTAACTGAATTTTTGCTTACCATCAGTTGCTCAAAATTCCAACTGAAATGGAAGGATTTTTCAAATCAAGGGATCAAGCTTGTTTCCTCAATGCACTGAGTTGATAAGTACAAGCAATTTAGACCTTGGCTATCAAAAATGGGGAGGGAGCCATAAAGGCACAAAGTGGCTAGTTTACAAGGCTTCATGAGTGTGCTTAGTTTCAGAATGAGGAGGGTATGGTATTATCCCCACTGAATAGTTTTCATCTTTTCCAAATGAATCCCGTAAAAGGGGATGGGGAATGATGGTGATATGATTTTATGATTAAATTGTGAGTAATTGTTAGCAGGCTCAATTGTGATTGCCACAACTATAATTATAGAAGATGTATAACTAAAAGGGAGGAGCAGCTGATCTTTCATTTTAGAAACAGAGGACCTCAGACCATCAAGAAGGAAGAACATGAGTGGAGCCTGAAATCCTACCCAGAAAAATGGCGACAGCAGAGTTGGTGGCAGGGGTGATGGCATAGAGATATGGAACAGCTGAAGACTCTTAAGCCCATGAACTAAGAAAGGCTGTGTGCCTGCAGGCAGGAGGCTGGCTTGCAAAATGTGCCCTTTGGACATTTAAATGAATATTGATTTGTTTTGTATGTGTACATCATATATTTTCCCTTTGCTCATTTGTGAAAAATAAGATGCAAAAAGGAAGCCACAAGGTGGAAACAGGGTAACTATTGTTATATGAAGAGAGTAATTATTGAGAAAAAAACAAAATGTATGACTGGTTTAAAGTAAAGCTAATGGTCTTGTCTATTTATCTTCACTCAATTCACAATAAAAAGTTGGGGGAAAACGGCATTATCTTTTAAATCCATTTTTCCACAAACTTTTTGAAACCCCCTCAAGTACACACAGATGTGTCCGGAATACCCCGAGGGTAAAGCCAGCCTCAAAAGCCTGTAAGATTTCCTGGCAACCCTGAGATTCTGACTGTAAACGCGAACATCTAGCACACACCTGTCCACAGTCCGACGTTAAAACTAAAACGGATTGAAGACAATTCTTACCAAACCAATGAGAGTCTGAGTGACCAGTCCTCATTCTGAACTATGGTTAGTGCCAGCAGTGCCAGCAGGACCCAAAGGGCCATGCCCTTCTGACTCAGGTGAGCTGGGCCGCCAAGCCTGATAGCACGAAGGCCTCTCCATTCCCTGGGTTGTGAAGCGGTTATGAAGTATACAGAAACGTGGCAGTGGGGCTGCTCTGCAGCCAGGGACTTCTCAGGGGTTTCGGATGCTTTTAAGTCGCTGAGACCACCAGAATTCCCAGGCGAACTGTACAGTTAGAAGGACTTCTCTAAGGGCTAATATGAGAGTGTTACGCTGTGGGTTGACGCAAAGTCGGTTTGAGCCACAAGGTCGGAGGTTCAAGTTCACTAGCCGCTCCTCGGAAACCCTATACAGGCTTGCTACGGGTCAGAACCGACTCGACGGCACTTAACAACAACACGAGCAGTGCGCATTCTAGAAAAAGCAAGAACAGGCTGCCTGATGCATCACACAGGTGTGAGAACGTGAAACGAGTTCCCAGGTAAAATCAAGATTGGACTTAGAACATATTCAAAATTATTCACATTTCCTATTTCATTCTGTTCACCAGCAAGGGAAGAGAGGCACCAGGGCAAGAGGGCAGAAAACCCTTGGCCAGAATTCTCTCTGTGTTAGGATTGTGAGCCCCGACACGGAGGCGCCCACGAGACGAGAGCCCTCGAGTGAAAACCAAACTGCCAGACCTCGCACCCAGCGGCAGACGTCTTACGTCTGCCGCGCGCGCGCGCTCCCCTAGCCCCGCCTGAGCCTACCTGCCTTGCGGAGAAGGCCGATCTGCGAGCCGTTGAGCGCCATGTAGTCGCAGTCGGTGACGACGCGCACGCGCACGCCGCGCTGGTGCAGGAGTTGCACGGCGCGGCCCAGCTGGGGGCTGGAGAAGGCAAAAAGGCAGAGCTCCAGAGTGGTGCGGGCAGCCAGCAGGGCGCGCAGCAGGCGGCTCAGGGCGCTCTCGCTGTGCGGCAGACTGCACAGGCAGCTCGCGGGGGCCTCGGGAACCTCAGAGGATGCGGTGGACGCGGGACGCGGTGCTTCCGGGGCCTGCAGCAGTGCCTCCGTGCAGGTCACCTGGGACGGGAAGAAGAGCACCTCACGCCTAGGTCGCCGTTTCTCGCCCCATAGCCTGCGAAATAGCGGGGGTAGCGCCTCTAGGGCCAGTGCAAGCCCCAAGGCCGCAGCGGCCGCCACCTGCCAACGCAACGACTTCATGTCGCCCCTCTACTAACAAATGCCTCACGCCAATCCTCGTGCGCGCCCCACTACGCTTGCGCCACCACGTGCGCACGAAGCTTCCACCTGAGCACGTGAGCACTATAGACCCGGAAGTGCTCTGATGGCGCGGGTCCTTCCTCCCTGAGTTCCTCCCATCAGTTCTGGGACCACCACTTGGGCAGGGCAGAGCGGGGCAGGGCAGAGCGAAGGTCTTGAAGCTCGCTTTGCAGCATCCGGGAAATTTTAGGTGACATGAGCCTAGGGCAGCATTAGCGACTATGAATCCTCCTCTCCCCAACCTCGCTCCCCATAAAATCTAATACAGCATTTAAAGATGTCGCTATTGCTGTAAGCATAAGCAGAATAGAGACCACTGAAATAACTAACGGGCCGTCTTAGCAAGCACCAGGGCCAGTATATAGGTTATGAAGGACTGTTATTTTTTCGCAGGAAAGAGACACCAAAGAGTTAATACCACGTTCCATGGACTCCCATTGACCTGGAGATGACAAAGAAAGGGCTGGTTGGTCCAAAGCACGGTGAGACTTGTGCACTCCTGAGTCCGTGGACAAGGACATAGCCACGGAGGCTTAGATCTAAGTGAAACATCCCGCTGATATGAAGTGAGGTGAGACGCACAACACTCAAACTTGCAGACAGTACCAATTTGACCTAGCCTCAGTAGCTTCCTTAATGATCAGAACTCTACTAGAGGAAGATAAAAACAATTTTTGATCAAAGAAACAAGTGTAAATTGCTACAATTTGATGAATTTGACCTTTACTGTTGGATGTTGTTGTTGTTAGGTGCCATTGGGTCAGTATCAACTCATAGCGACCCTATGCACAACAGAACGAAACACTGCCCAGTCCTGGGCCAACCTCACATTGGTTGCTACGCTTGAGCCCATTGATGCTGCCACTTTGCCAATCCATCTCGCTGGGGATCTTCCTCTTTCTCTGACCCTCCATCTTACCAAACATGGTATGTTCCTATCATTAATGGATGTTTACAGCTGTTTTCTCTTCATTTTGAGTTGTGCCCCATCAGCAAATGAGGGTCCTGTGGGCTTTACTTCCACGGGCGTCACTCCATTCGCGTTATCACGGTCAACTCTACTTTGAGAAGGCAGCTCTTCCTCAGTCACATTTTGAGTGCCTTCCAACCTGAGGGGCTCATTTTCTGGCACTATATCTGACAGTTTTTCACTGCTATTCATAAGATTTTCAGTGACTAAATATTCAGAAATAGTTCATCACTCCTTCCTAGTCTGTCTTTGTCTGGAAGCTCATCTGAAACCTGTCCACCATGGGTGACCCTGTTGGTATTTAAAATAATGCATTGGACCACAAGGTCAGTGGTTCAAACCCACCAGCTGCTCCTCAGAAACACTAGGAGCGCTATGAGTCAGAACCAACTCTACAGCACTTAACATATCTTGGCGTGCCTGGAACAATGACACCCCCGTCTGTACTAATGAGCACAGGTAGTGCCTACATCTTGATTTCTAGTTCCATCTGCTAATAAAAGGAACGAGTGTTTCTTGGAGAAAGGATTGATTCAGCTGCTGCGGCAGGGAATTTACAAGCTGAGCCTGAGGAAAAGATAAGGACATGTCAGAAAGACACTAAAGGCAACCTGAAAAGAACCTCCAGTAGCCCAAACTGGAACAAAATGAGTAATAATGTAGTATTGGATTATAACCACGTATAAAATAAATATCTTGAGTTCTTGCTAATAAAAATGAGTAAATGAGAGGACACAGTTGTTCCTTACATGTTGTTAAATGCTATCGAGTTGGTTCCAACCCATAGTGACCCTGAACAGGGTTTCTGAGGCTGTAAATCATTACAGGAGCAAAAAACCTCATCATTCTCCTGCAGAGCAGCTGGTAGTTTCAAACTGCTGACCTTGAGGTTTGCAGCCCAATTCGTAAACACTGCGCTACCAGAGCTCCTTACATGAGAATCACATAAAGCAAGGAGGTACTGAGAAACTGTCAGACCACAGACTGGAAAACTGGTAACTAAATGCAATGTGGTTCCCTGATACAAGTGGGAAACTAGCAAAATCTAAATAAATGTGGGGTTTAATTAATAGTAATCTACCAATGTCAGTGTCCTGGTGTGGCGCTGTGGGTTAATGCACCAGACTGCAAAGCCGTTTGAACTGCAAGGTCAGTGGTTCAAGCTCACCAGCTGCTCCTCGGAAACCCTATACAGGATCGCTATGGGTCGGAACCGACTCAACGGCACTTCACAAAAACAACAACCACCAATGTCAACTGCTCGGTTTGTCAATCTAAATTTACTCCAAATTAATCATTTTAAAATGTTAAGCACACACCTTCCATATTACCCACTCTTCTACTCTTAAGGTATTAACCAAAGAACAAAAGCACATATCTATACAAAGACTTCATCCCACAACTCTTCTGGTCTTCGGTCTTTAGTGTTCAGTGCATCAAATCTGTTCTTCAGGTGGTCTCTAAATTCAGGTGGGATAAATTCAAGGTCATATTTTGGCT